CCCGTGTCCCCTGCATCGGCAGGTGGACTCTCAACCACTGCGCCACCAGGGAAGCCCTAGTTCATCAAATATTTTGACGACTGAAAACTACCCATCTTTGTTGGCTAATCAAGAAACACATTTGTCATCTGCAAACACCCGTTTTCTAAGAGCAAGGATGGCGAGCTAAAATGCCACGACATGGAATTTGTTAAAAACATAATTTAATGTGTTGGTGATTCATAGAACATTTCTGATCTCACAGAGCCCCTCCATTGACAATAGCCATCTTTGAGAAGCTGGCACTGCTAAAGCATGAAAATACAAATTTCAGATGAGCAGAATGCCATCAAAGAAATACATGGTTACACTAATGCTTCTTTCAGTTGGTGGAACAACGGACTCTGTTTTATGATACAGTATTTAGTTTAGCCGGCCAGTTCATTATAAGAAATACACCTCATCGGCGAATTTAAATTTATAACCCTTTAATGGCTTAAAGGTAAAAGTGAAGAGATAGCTTCTTAGGCCCCACCTAAGATTTGTAGCGTCATGCTAATTATACTGGATACATTTATATATTCAAAGAAGAATTGGTAAGATTAACTGATAACTCGTGTAATTAATTTGTTCCTTTACCAAGTAAGTCAGCAAAAGAATATTAGTTAAATAAGTTACATAAAATCCATAATATGAAATGTTTTGCAACTGTTAAAACCATGTTTCAAAAGCTATTGAATAACAAAGAAAAGGAAACGTTACAAAATGTTACATAAAGGTCCAAATTATTAAAAAATTAGAAATGCACTTCATAAAATATGAGACTGATAGAGGCTCATAATGCCTTATCTGGAAACTTTAGTGTCAGGTGTGTTTCAGGGTTCTGAATTTTCAGATTTGTTTCAAAGGGAACACAGTGCTCATACTGGATATTACATAACACTCCCATGGCACCTGAGGCAGTACCTGCTAATAAACACACAAATATTTCTATAGCAAAACATATGATAGTCTCACCAAGTGGGATGAATAGACTAGCTCCATATGACTTCAGGTCAGACTTTGCTGCCAAATAAATTTGCTGCAAACTTGGGAAAAATTTCCCGGGTTTTCAGAGGCATTTGAACTTTGGAATTGTGGATGAGGGGTTGTGGACAACAATCTGACTTTTACCAACAGTCGGAGAAGTACAAATAGGAATAACTTTTGTCTTTTTAGTGCTTTTGTGTATTTCTCAAGTTTTCTATAAGGAACTCAGATGATTTCTACAATGGGAAAAATATACTTTTAAATACCCGTTTATTATTTCACATAACCATATGACGTGTCAAGTTCTATTTTGAACGGTTCCACTTTTTCAGGATTGAATTTTCTTTACTGAGTAATCCTTTTATAGTGCCAAACCATTCATTGTTATAATAAATTCCTTTGCCCTTTACTGTGATGAAATATGCATTTTATACATATTATAAATATCAGGTGAAGTGACCATGGTAAAACTGCTACATAGTTATCTATGGGCGCTCTAGAGGAACAAAGTTCCACAGGATCAAGGTTCTTTGCATCAGTGGGATTAAGGACCAAGCTCTGCCAGGTCTGTCCATCTAATGCCTAATGGGATCATATATTCCTTCAGGTTTTTCCATGTGATGGGAGGCGAAGAAATGCTGGAAAGGCTCTCCTTGAATGTGCCGAAATTCCTCATGTAACAAGAGTCTTGGGTAAAATCTTATGTATACTTGTGTTAATGTGGACATATACTTTCTTCAAGATGGTATCATCCTCACAGGCAACGCTCAGTGTGTGTGTGCGTGTGTGTGTGTGTGCATGTGCCCATGTGCATTTGTGGGCGGTACACACTGGCATGTTGTATTGACTCTTTTTATTCCCCCACCATTAACTTGTTTATGGGGTTATAAGTGGAAAGGAAAGAAATTTCCTTCTGGAATGGATCTCTAAATGCCTGGAGATTATAAATGCTATGCCACAAGTTGCTTTATCTCAAAACACCCACATTTCCATAAAATTCTCTCTGTATGTACGTGTATAAGATATGTGTGTTCATATGTATTCTTTTTTTTTTTTTTTGCTACTTTTAGTCTGAACACTGAATCAGTCTAGAGATGCTGAGTGAGTCTTTAGGTAGTCCAGTTTATAAGCCTGGGACTCATTAACCTTTGATGACCACATTAAACTTTAAAGTAAACCTCAGTCCATAAATAAAAAGAAATCATTCTCAGCCATCTTTCTCTGAACAAGCTGAAATTCTGTAGTAAGGGTAAAAGTTACTATGGATGTATAAAGGGCAAGCAGGTAATTTTACAAGACAAGAAAGATCATTAAAGAAGACAAATACCTATTAAAGAGTAGGACAGTCAATTTAGCATATTGTACCAAACTAAAATACAAATTAAAATTTACTGCATAGTCAAGGATCATTAGAGCTAAGTTCTTTCCCTATTCTGATATTTTGATTTTGCAAGTCCTACCTCAGTTGCTACCAAGAATATTTATTTTTCCATTGCTACAACTTATGGCTGACAGTATTTTTCCTGTCCTATCAATTATTATTCTAAAATATTGTAGAAAGACCTGTATTCCAAGCAAGAATTCCCTCTGACTATGAGAGGTAAGTCTGTGTTCTATTAGCATCTGCTAATTTGCTACCTTGCATTGTGAAACAACACCTGTAAAAACCGTTGAGGGTAATGTCACTTTTGTAAGCGCAATAAACCGAAAGGCAACTCCTCTCTTTAAGTTCCCAAATGGATTAAATCGACCATTGGATAATTATTAAATAATAATTGGGAATTCCTCAAAGAGACAGGGTGTCCTTCTGCATCTTTTCAACTAAGGGTAGAACAGACATCTTAGATTTTGTATGATTAGATATTATATGCATATTAAAATAGTATAGTTTATTGGCCAGCTGGAAATACATATGTTCTTGGGCAAAGTTTCATTCACTTAAACAAATCAACAAATTAAAATTTAAGGGAGTATCTGAGTCCAAGTAGAAGACAAGATAATATTCAATATTTCCCACCTGCCTGAGAGGGACAAGCTGCCTTGCCCCGTTACCCCCCAAAGGCCCAACTGAGCTAGTATGTTACTTCAGGTTTATTCATACTATTCATGTGATGTGAAGAAACAGTGGAGAATCTCCTCCTGAACTAGCTGGAATTGTCTAAGTGTCTTGTGCAAAGTCTGTGTACGCTGTGTTAAAGAACCAGCAAGGTGTACTTAAGGAAAAGCACACTAAAATAGTGATTAAGGAGGGATTTCAGTTCACCAGGAGTGCTAAGGATTCTGAAGAATCAATAAAAGTTAACTTCTAATAAATTTAATTTAGAGTCACTTATGAAAAAGCCTGAATTCCAATTATTTCCTGATCTTTTTGTTATTACATTCTCAATTACCTTTAAAGCCTACTTCTTGAGTCTAGGCAGTTAAAAGCTGTTAGGCTATTAAAATCAGACACTGTGCTTGTACTTTAGTGCAACTTTCTGTGGAGCATGAAGATGCAAAAGCTCAATAACTCTTCCTTATTTAGAAAATAAAATGCCTTTACTGTTTTATTTACAGATGAAAGGAAATGTTGTATTTCTTTGCTCTTCAATTTTTAACCTGGACAAAAACCAAGCCAATCCTCACAGTTTTCTTGAATAGAATCCATGTTAATTAAAAACAATAACAACGATGATAATTTATAATGTGAAATATATAACTCCAACTCAAAAAAAAAGATCTACTTTATATCATTTTGATTTTCTGCACTAACATCAAGGTTACTAGATGGCTTACTTACTTTCATTAAGAATTATTAGTATCAAAACTGTTTAAACTAACAAGAATTCATCATCCTAATTGGTTTTTCTAAGAGTTCATGTGAATTATGCAGGAAAGAATGCTATCCTGAGCATCAGTGTGGCTGAGAGTCAGAAAATTATGCCACCATCTCAAGAGCACATTTGACTTTGAACCTTAGTGGGAGGGTGGGCAGCTGATTTAAACCAGTCCAAGCAGACCCATTTGATAGTTTTTTTTTTTCTTCCTCCCAAGAGTTTGAAAGTTGAGCAGAGATACAAACAAACCAAGGTCAGTGAAACTGAGTCACGTTGCGGCAGCGGCCCAGGGAAGTTCTGCTGAGTTCTGGAGCTGCCCCTATCCCTAGGCTGGTTGCTGACTATCCCTTCAATTCTATGAGCTACTTTGGGATTCTTTTCAGTAAATCTCCTTTTCCTCTTTCTTCTTGCTTTTATCTTGAGAGAGCTGGAATTGTTACCTGCTATGAGAAAACAGAAACGTAGTAACTGATATGTTAACTTTGTGTTTGAATTCCCTTGTCTCAGAAACTGGATCACTGAAAATAAGCATCAACGTATTATTTTAAATGTGTTAACACTTGGAAAAAACCTGCCTTTGTTTCTATTTGTTTAGCATCAAACATGAGATATGGAAAATTGATGTCCTTTTGTTGTGTCACATGGAAAGAATCAACAGTAGGGCTGCATGATCAGAGAAGAGCCTTTTACCTCATCGCCTTTCTCCCCACGTATCCCGGGGTAGCCTCGCTCTCCTTTGCTCCCCTAGAGACACAATACATTTAGTTAGTACACTCAGTCATTTTGTCATCTTTTGGGAAAATGAACATATCTCTTCTCAGGACACTTGGGGCATGTCATTTGGACAGAATCGGGGAAAAATAAATGACATCTGCAAATGGCTTTTACACCACTTTTTCAAAATATTTTTAGAAAAAGGACTGTATTTTAAAATGTATTTCTTTTTTTTTACCCTGAATTAAAGGTTGCACAGAGGAGAGACTTCCTTACCTTTAGTCCCTCTCTGCCTGGGACTCCTGGAGGACCTCGTGGCCCTACATCGCCCTAGAGGACAGAGCAGTCACAGCTGAGAGAAGGCACCATGTGTCACCTCCAGGGTCCACCAACACTTAGCCCCCTTCTTACCTTCTGGGCTACAGAATCAAACTGTCCAGGCTCACCAGCGCCTGCTTCTTCTCCTTTGTTGCTTTTCAGCCCAGGGACACTGGCTTGGCAGTTGCCACAGAAGTTCTAATGAAGACAGAGATAAGGTCACTGGAGATTCATTATTCATTGATTGGATTTGAACTTCTATTTGAACTTTTGTGAGAGTTGAGTGATAGCCATTGCTATGTCATTCTACTTTCAGAAACCTAATTTATTCAATTTGAAAGACTACTTTTGGGGAGGCAAAAACTATTTTAAAAGATAAACTCATAAGTCAAGAACACAGAGTTTCAGTTGCTTAGCAGCATGTTTAAAAAGAGAGGTGGCAATAAAGTTTGGAATAACCAGCAAGATTACAGAGCTCATAAAACCAATAGCATAAATCATAAGAAAGAAAGAAAGAAAGAAAGAAAGAAAGAAAGCTGTGAAGAAAGGATTTCCCCTTTTGAGAGCCCAATCAGTTGGAGAACCCTAAACACAGCTTACTAACCTTTTATTTGTTAGGGGAAACACTCACGTGGGAAACAATTATTTGAGCGGCTGGGACTTGACTTCTAAGTCAAATCCAAGTGCAGATAGGAAATATAAGTGGAATCACCTTTCCATCGCCTTCTCTGTAATCTTTAGCTGATCTGCAAACGCTTCAATTTAGTTACCTGAACTCACAAGATAAACTTCTTACCACATAAAGCCTACAGAGGCTTATTTTTAAATAAACTGTTATAAAAATATGATCTGGAAAGGCATAAAATAGGGACTACTGAGTGGGGGAGACAGCTGAAATTTAACAATTGACCAAAGGTAGGACAATCTAAGCCTCAATTCTTCCATCTTTTTAACCAAAGGGAAGAATCCTTAAACATAAAGAGGGAATGGAAGCTTGCCGTTGATGGGAAGCTGGCAAGAAAGGCCATGAAGTTCAATATTTCTGACCCAGTGTATATCAGCACAAGTTTGATTTCCAAACATATGCTCCATGGAAGACTAATTTTGTATGATACTGAAAAGGTTCTGAGGCAATTTGCCTAAAAAATGCTGGGTCAGAACAGTTCTCTTTGTGGTTGTCCTTCTTAGAGCTGGAATACATGAGAAGGAGTTGGAATGTGCAAAGTTTCCCAAACTAATTTTATCACTAGGATCATTCCACTGAGCTAATGTGCTGGTACAGGAGTTAAGAAACACATACATAATTGTAGAACCACCCCTACTCAATCTGAAAAACTGTGAAGGTAGAGACGCTTGAGGACTTCAGAGAACCAAAAAGCTTTCCATATTTCAAAAAGTATAAAGAATGTCTACTGTATCTGTAGACATTATAACATGGCATATCAATATATAGTAACATTTTAGAATGGATTATTCAATTGATTGCTTTTTTACTGAAGTATAGTTGATTCACAATGTTGTGTTAATTTCAGGTAAATGGCAAAGTGATTCAGTTATACATACATATATATCTTTTTTTCAGATTCTTTTCCCTTATAGGTTATTGCAAAATATTGAGCATAGTTCCCTGTGCTACAGTAGGTCTTTGTTGGTTATCTGTCGTATACAGTAGTGTTCATATGTTAATCCCAAACTCCTAATTTATCCCTTCCCCCGTTTCCCCTTTGGTAACCATGAGTTTGTTTTCCATGTCTGTGGGTCTATTTCTACTTTGTATATAAGTAACATTTTAGGATGGATTATTCAATTGATTTTTATTGAAGTATAGTTGATTTACAATGTTGTGGTAGTTTCATGATTGTTTTAATAAAACATAAAAAATGGAAATAATTACAAGTCAATAGGATTTTCTAGAGTCATTTCAAACTGACCTCATCTTCTTTAGGTTAGAGTTACTAGAATGGTAAATGAAGGAAAAGTGGATTTCATTAAGGTTCTTGAAAAAATACCTTTTAAGATTTTTCTCACGGAGAGGATAAAGACGCAGTTATTGGCTAATACACAAGCTTGTTCAAAGAAGGACTGATACACGGATTAACCTGGAGGAAGGTCTTTGAAGGTATACATCATTCGGGCTGGGAAACATGTCAGTTCTTTTCAACACTTTATTCAAACACAGTTTTTGAGAACAGAAAGCAGGACGATCAGGTCCGCTAAAGACTTTAAGACAGAGTTGGGACAGTTAATATACTGGTGGCAGGATTAGGATTAAAATTCCCATATGCCTCAGGGAACTACCTGCTTCTCTTCTACTGAATACAGCTTGCTGGGACTCAGTCAGGGGTCCTGCTCACCTCTTGCCAACTGGCTCCCCTGAGACTCAAAACCTCCATGAGGTGATGCTGGGTCTGGACCCCCGGCAAGGGCATTTATTAAGGGGATGCTGCCCTGGTGAAACTGTTGACTACTTCCATGTCTGAGGCCATCGGAGCCCTGGTTCTTTTCCCTGTCAGAGCCTGTTTGCAGTCTTTTTGTCTGTAGTGGGAGCTGCCACATCCTATCAGGATAGTCAATAATTTTTTTTGATCTTAAAGAGCCCTAACTGTTCCGCAATGATATAACTCCTACAATCCTGCCATTTCCAACATCACTGCCCTCGTAGAGAACATGAGACTGACTGTCTGAGGACCTGCACTCCTGTGTTAATGTCACACTTACTGGCTGTGTGACTCTGAGCAAGGTACTTAACTCCTCAGAATTTAGGTCTCTCGTGTACAGAATGGGAAACTCCACAGCCTGAACTCATAGGATTCTTGCGCAGGTTACGTGAGATGATATAAGTAAAGCAGTGTGTTGCCTGGCATGTAATAATAACTCAATAAACATAAGATCCTCCTGAAGCCCCCATAAATACTATTTTTTAAAAAAAATAGGATTTGCTCTTTTTTTCCTTAATTAATTAATTAATTTATTTAGGGCTGTGTTGGGTCTTCGTTTCTGTGCGAGGGCTTTCTCTAGTTGTGGCAAGCGGGGGCCACTCTTCATCGCGGTGCGCGGGCCTCTCACTATCACGGCCTCTCTTGTTGCGGAGCACAGGCTCCAGACGCACAGACTCAGTAGTTGTGGCTCACGGGCCTAGTTGCTCCGCGGCATGTGGGATCTTCCCAGACCAGGGCTCAAACCCGTGTCCCCCGCAATAGCAGGCAGATTCTCAACCACTGTGCCACCGGGGAAGCCCCTATTTTCTGACTTATGAGAAAATGTTGGCTTTTGAAAGTCTTAAACCCCCCCATATATTTATATTTATATCTACATTTACATTTATATTCATGTACTATTCTCAAAACCTTTATCACCCGACAAATATATTTACTAGAATTCTAGTCTTGTGAATTCAATTCAACAAATATTCTTGCCTGCCTACTACTGAGTAAGTCGTTGCAGGAAACATTGGGTTAAATGCTGGAAATATAAAATAGATCACATATACACACACATAGCCCGTGTGTGTGTGTACAGATATACTGTCCATTCATACATTGACAGATACGACACATGAGGTTTGAGTGGAATATAAAGGGACAGACTTTCATTTGGGTTCAGTCTTAGCATTCCGCAAAGAAACATGCAAATACACAACCTCCAGGTGTCCTATTATCAACCGCTCCCCATCTGTTTTACAAATAAAATAGAGGAAAGTATTAAAGAAAAAAAACGGTAGCAAGATTAATTCCCTGTGAGGTGGATAATAGGTAGAGATCATTTTTATTTAACAGAGTCACAGGTGTTAGGGCGATTGTCAGCTATGGAATTTTGTAACTCACTTTGTAAAATCCCATGACATAAAAACTCAGCCTTGCAAGCTAGCTGTTTATTGAGCAGCATTGCTTTCCATCCTGGACTGGCCAGGGCAGATACCGTGAGGAGGACTGGGTTTCACAGTGATGAGCCTGGGTGGGTGAACACCATTAAGAGAAAGCTATTGCTGCAGAGAGAGAACATCTACTCAAGGGTACTAATGACACCATTCCTCTCCTGCAGCTCATCTCAGAACTACCACCTCCTCCCCTGCCTCCCTGTTCCTCCACACCCAAAATGAGAGGCTGGTAAAGAAGAGAGTGGGGAATTAGTATAAGTGGCACTAGACATATACAGATACGTGTTCCTTTTTCTATCTGAAAGATGTTCTGCCATTAAGAAACTGAATTTTAATTCAGGCTAAGCAATTAACTCAAATTCTTGTAAAGATTTCCTTTCTGATTTTTCCCAGAAGTTAACACATAATTTCTTACATAGCCACAAAGTACCTTGAACAAGGCCCCCATGTCTCCCAAGAGAGGAAGTGCAATCTGTGGATAAGGAGAAAAAAAAACCCAATGCATGTAATTATACATATACAGGCACACAATACAATACAAACATAATGAATGTAGATGTTTTCCCTCAAAACACCAGGCCAGCTGAGATTTGTCACCATGGTGACAAATGGTAGGGCTTAGAAGAGCCTCACCATCAGGATGGTTGGCCAACATGATGTTTCCTATCCAGAAACAGACACAGGACTCGGGCAGTGATTTGGCCTTGTGCCTTAAAGCGTCCTTTCAGAGAGACACCGTAAACCCCAGTAATGCTTTAAAGGTTCCCAGTCAATACACATACACACATGATTCACTCAGTGAGGGAGTTAAAGGCCAAGATACGCCTCTGCATGTAACTTATAATGGCACGTGAGGCTCAAAAGGTGTAGGAGGATTTGTGAGACTAAGAACCGAGAGGCCAGATTTGGGTTTTATTATACAGAATTCTTAATACAATGTCATATACCATATGGCTTCTTAAATTATAACTGCCAATTTGGAGGCTATTTAAAGGGATTTCACTGTCACTCAAAGCAAGGTTTAACCTAAAATAAAACTTTGGAACACCCATTTAGTGCCTAAACCTGTTCTGAAAAGCCTACTCAAGCCAGTTTTGTAATTGAACCATTTCAGCATTCTTAAAGCCATCGAATCAATAGATATGTACCATATTATGGGAAACTTACCCGCAGACTTTCATTTAGAAAAATGAAGTTCATTTCGTCACCAGCATTAGAAAGAACAGAATCTGTGGCTATGTATTTTAACTCAATTTTCCATGGGATTGAGACATTATACACCAAGGTTCAGCTTGGGGCAAAAATTGTACAGCTGAATTATACCCTCGGGAAATAAGTATTCGTCACACACACAAAAATGCTGATGTAGCTTGAATTTTTTCCCCCTCTACAAAAAAGTGGGGATAAACAAAATCACTAAGCAGTCACTGAGCATTCTAATTAGTCTGGACAGCAAAACTTGCTTGGTAGGCTGTTTGGCTGCTGCGTGCATTAAAGATACATAAATCAGGCACAGACGGTCAACATACCGGGTCACCTGGAGGGCCTGGCAGCCCTGGCTTTCCATCCCTCCCAGGAGCTCCCTGAAAACAGAAGCAGCATGTTCAAATCTTTGCACCTCGGCACAGGTTCAGATTAAGACAGGTGTGGGGGAGAGGGGAAGTAGGTAAAAACTGTCCTTACATCATTCCCTGGGGTCCCTGGAGCTCCTGGCAACCCAGGGAGACCTCGAGGACCCTGGCAAAGGGGGAAAATAGTTACTTATAAGGATAGTCTTTTAGTAATTGCCCCCATTCCCCACCCCCACCCCCCAGTCAGCAAGATGGATTTGCTGTGCCAGATAACTTGGTTAAGTAGCTTACCTGAATCCCTGGCTCTCCAGCTGGGCCTTGGGAGCCCTGAAGAGAAGGAGATTCAGTGATTAGAATTCTGCTGGGAATGTCCATAGATTACCCAAGTGGGAGAAAGGGCCAAGTACTGTAATTTCCATAGTGGACAACAGGGCTTGCCACCCTGCACACTCTGAAAACTCTCTGCAAAGCTGGCCAAGAGTTCTGGGTGGCAGGTGAACACCTGACCAGATGCAGTGCTGGAAGCACCACCATAACTGTGTTCAGACGCCTGGGCTGCCCCCGAGCCCGCCGTCGGTCCCTGCCCACTCACGGGCGCACAAACAACAACCCCAAGTTCTGTCTGCTAGACACTGGCCGGCCACAGGGTAACCGGCCTGGGGCTTCCTCTCCTTCCTGCTTTTTACTGGGAGTCATTTCTCTGAGGAAATTGCCAGAACCAGTGTTCAGTGACGGGAACTGGAAACAAAACTTCAGTTATTCTCTTCTATGTTAGAAAACTGGAATTTGGGGTAACTGAAATGAGTGAACCTAATGATGACAGATCCATCCCTGTCTCATGACCATGGACCCCTGGATGAGGAACTGACTGATCACCTGGGTGAGTAAAGAGCTGGGGTCTCAGCACCTGGCTTCACTACCTGCTCATTGCCTTTTCCCTTCTTACTTTTAAATAAATATTCATATTGTCAAAGCTACCTTTTGCTCCCTTTCTATTTATACCGTGTGCTTAAGTTATTTTTGGTTCGTTGGTTTATTTTTCGCTTCAACCTCCTTCACTCCCCTAATAATTTCCTGACCTACTTTTTTACTTTGTTTAATCTCCCATCTCCAGTGGTCTTTATATTCTCACCCTGGAAAATCAAACACCAGCCACACACAATATAACCATTCACTATTTACATCTTCTTTTACCTCTCACGATAATTTCATTTCAAGGCCAATCTCCAAATTAATGTCTTTGGGATAACCATCTATTTCACTTTTCTTGTCCCAAAATCTTTTATCTTTTTTCGTAGTAAATAAAAAGTTTTATCTCCTACTGCTATTTGGTCCACAAGTATGCATACAATGGTCATTATTATCATTATTACCCTTGTAGCTAAAACACGTCAAAAAACTTTCTATTATTTGTCTTAACGATCAAAAACTACCTCTATTCTCTCTTCTCTAAGATATTACATAGAGATTTTTGATATCATCTCATTTATAGGCACTCCATTCACTTTAAAAGTAACTTTTCATTTTATTCTAATTAAAAACAAACAGTGATATATAATATCCTAATATTGGGCATTCTCATAATCTTACACTCATTTGTACTTTTAAATATATAGAATGGAGGAATAAAGTGTTAAATAACTTCTTCTAATTCAAAATCAGTGTACGTGTGATTAGCATCTGTAAGTCAATAAACAGTGGGTACCTTCTGTGCTTAGGATATAGCCACAAAGCCCATTAATTCCTGCTCTCTGACTTTTTGTATCTCCTCTGACCATTTCACTCCTTTCTCCGTATTCAAATTTGTTGCTGGATTTTATTTCACAACATTGGGTCAACAGGGTTTCAAAAACTTGATTGAATTTCACTTACAGTTCGGCCAGGAATTCCTATCCCTGGGGGGCCTATGTCACCTGGGGAGCCGTGGATACCTGGCAGTCCTCTTTCTCCCTGTGCAATTAGATGCTTCTGTTAGTGTGAGGCTCAAGGGACATGGATTTTCCAGTTATATTTCGTTAATTATTAATTCTTTAAACATTATCTAAGATATTTTTACCTTTGGCCCTCGCGGGCCAGGTGCTCCAGGATTTCCATCTAATCCCTAAAAGAAAAAGAAGAGAAAAGGAAGTGAATATATTTCTTTTCCTAAAAAGGTTAATTACATCTTGGAAGTCATAACTCAAAAATATTTCATTGCTCTTCATCTTTTTTGAATAAACCTTTTCTGTAAAATAGTAAGGAAGAGGGAACACAAATTTCACTAGGCTACAGATTTTGTATAGTTACTTTAAAGTATAAGATGTTTTCATCTTTAAAATGAGGTATCTGATATTGAGAATTATTTATTACTATTCACATAAAAGGTCAAAGGGGATGAGAAAAAAAGGCAGATGAAACAGCCATATGGGTTGGATTTTCCAGCTATCCAGTTTTCTATGTCCTGGGATTAGCCCAGGCCACAGGGACATTTTTTAAAGATGACCACCTATGGCTATATATGCAGAGCCTCTAGAAGGGAAATTTCAGGCAGTTCTTCTGTTTTAAGAGATTGTCCAAGGAAGGTTTATGGTTTAAAACTAGCAAACCTTACTAGGCTTCATAGATCCCTAAATAGTCCCTACAGAAGCTTCAGGGGTGCCTATGAATCTCCCGGAATTGTATGAAAAATGGTGCATGTGTGTGCATTTTCTTCAGATGAGAGCCCTTTGCTTGCATCAAATTCCCAAAAAGATTAGACCTCTGATCTAAAGAATAAGATGAACACTTCTTTTTCTGCAGACCTAAACATTCCTATGCCTGTGATCTGAAACTGGGAACACACAAACAGTAATTAATCAGCTTTCAAAGGAAATGTTAGTAAAAGGATTGGTACTTACTGGTTCCCCTGGCAGGCTTTTTCCTGGAGGACCAGCCTCACCTTTTGGACCTGGAAGTCCAGGAGGGCCTATAATCCCACCTGGGTCTCCCTGAGGAAACAAGGTAAGATTCTCACTTCATCACTCAGGTTCATGGTGGGACGTGTAGAGGCAGCAGTTTCCATAGTATTAAGTTGTCACCATAGCCAGTCACACTGCATTCTCTCACCCATTCACTCACTCATTCCACTATATGTACTGAGTGTCCAATCCACGCGGACACTGTTCTGTTATCTTAAGTGCACCTAGATCTTGCGGTGAGCTATGTTACGGTAGGTTTACAGTATCATGAAATGTATGTATGTGTATAAATAGATATGCAAAAAATATAAAAATCTATTCATATGGTTCTTTAGATGACCTTTATGTTTTCTTTAAGTTATTCCCAAGTAATGGTTCAGTACTAAAATACTATTTCCACGTAGACATCAAGAAACAGGTACTGAGAGATTGAGACTTCTTAAGTCTATACCTGAGTTGTTAGCTGAGCCTGAAACAGGTTTTTTGAGTCCTGAGATCTTCAACTCTAAGGCAGTTCATTCTGTCACATTGCATTTTCAGTGCCAGAACCCGGGCTGCCACAGTGTCCAGGGATGATGCTCATGCCATAATTTATGCGAACATCTATCTCCTGCACAATCCCAGCTGCCCTGGCCTGTCCTTTCACTCCCCCAGTGTCCTTATGACCCTCTGTCTCTTCCTCCTACCCAGCTACTTAATATACAAAGTGAGTGAAACGGAAGCTATACCTTTTCTCCCTTAATGCCTTGTTTTCCTGGGATACCGTGTTCTCCTGGCAATCCCTAGAAAATTCAGAATAAAAGGGAGAGAGCAATTAGAAAATCTCTTATTGTAATAACATTTCTATCTGTGAGTCTTTGTCAGGAGAACAGAATTCTAACATGCAAACTACATGGGAACATGTTGATTTTGGTCTGCTGGAGAGAGAAAAACCTTAATGAAAATATGTGGCTTGTTGTTTCAAGTGAGGTAACCTGAATGTAATGAGAAAGAAACTAAATAAGGGAGACCTGAACTAAATGCCCCATCCATATTACTGCCAAAAGGCATGGAAGAACGGCTCTTGGTGGCATCACCCTATGACTCAGAAAGACAATGGGGTAAATAGAAAATAGCTTTTACTATGATTTGGCAAGAAAGGTTCTTTTATTTTATTCTCTATTTTAGCTCTAGCCACTATCACTTAATGTCATTTCTTGGGCATCTTGTGGCTCCACCTGTGCCACCAGCATTATGTTTCTTTTTGTAAGATCTCTCCATTAGGTACACCTTCAATGGTTCACTATATGGCTTGGGGGTGCAACAAAAAGATTTGCTTCATGAAGTGAATGTTCAAAGTACCAAGTGACCAAACGTGCTGAAAGATGAACCCCTGGAGCCTCAGTCAGGGAGCATGGAGAACAGAGCAAGATGTCATGGCGCTGCTCCCAAGGTGATGGGAAAAGGAGAGATTCTAACAGTTGCATGGAGGGTACTCAAATCATGGCCAGATAGAGATCAGTGTTAAGAAGTGGTGGTCAAGCATTTTTCTCGTTTTGCTCAAGTGAGGATTGATAGTGAGGTTTTGGCTCCCAAGATGTCAGAAGGCTAGGGAGATTGTCCAAGGGACACAAAGCTGACATAGGGGAATGGATAGGAAAGTGCATTTATTCAATCAAAAAACAGAAGAATACACATTCTTTTCAAGTGCACATGGAATGTTCTCCAGGATAGATCACATGCTGGCCACAAAACAAGTCTCAACAAATATAAGAGAACAGAAATTATATCAAGCATTTTTCTCCAACCAAAATAGCATGAAACTAGAAATCAATTACAGGAAATAAAATGGGATAAACACAAAATTGTGGAGACTAAACAACATGTTACTAAAAAACCAATGTGTAAATGAAGAAATCAAGAGGAAATCAGAAAACACCTCAAGACAAATGAAAATGGAAACACAACTTTCCAAAATCTATGGGATACAGCAAAAGCAGTTCTAAGTTTATGGTGGTATAGGCCTAACTCAACAAACAAGAAAAAAATCTCAAATAAACAACCTAACTTCCCATGTAAAGGAATTAGAAAAAGAACAAACAAAACTGAAAGTCTGAAGAAGGAAGGAAATGACAAAGATCAGAGAGGAAATATTAAATAAAATAAAGACCCCAAAACCCCCAAACAATAGATAAGATCAATGAAACAAAGAGCTATGACTTTTGAAAAGATAAACAAAATCGATAAGCCTTTAGTGAGAGCTCATCAAAAAAAAAAAAAAAAAGAGAGAGGACACACATAAACCAAATAAGAAATGAAAGAGGAAAAATGACAACCATTACCACAGAGATGCAAAAAATCATAAAAGAATACTAGTTATATGCCAAAAAATTGGACAACGTAGAAGAAGTGGACAAATTTCTAGAAACATAAAACCTTCCAACACTGAATTAGAAAGTAACAGACAATCTGAACAGGCTGGTCACTAGTAGTGAAATTGAATTTGCAATAAAAAAAAACCCTACAGCGAGCAAAAGTCCAGGACTGGAGAGCTTCACAGGTGAATTCTACCAAACATATAGTGAAGAGCTAATGCCTTTCCTCCTCAAACTATTCCAAAAAGTTGAAGAGGAGGGAACACTGCCAAATTCATTCTATAGGACCACCATTACTCTGATACCAAAACCAGACAAAGACATTACAAAAAAAGAAAATTACAGGCCAATATCTCTGATGAATATAGATGCAAAAATCCTCAAGAAAATGTTAGCAAACTGAATTCAAGAATTTATAAAAGGGATCATACACCATAATCAAGTGGTATTTATTCCAGGGAAGTAAGGATGGTTCAATATCTGCAAATCAATCTATGTGATGCACCACATTTACAAGAGGAAGGGTAAAAATTATGATAATCTCAAAACATGCAGAAAAAGCAATTCACAAACTTAAACATCCACTCATGATAAATGCTCATCCAAGTTGGTACAGAGGGAACATATCTCAACATCATAAGCACCACTTATGACAAACTCAAAGCTAACATCACACTCAGTGGTAAAAAGCTGAAAGCCTTTCCTCTAAAATCAGGAAGAAAACGTGTATGCCCACTCTCACCAGTTCTATTTAACACAGTATTGGAAGTCCTAGCCACAGCAACCAGACAAGAGAAAGAAATAAAAGGCATCCAACTTGGAAGGAAAGCAGTAAAACTGTCACTATTTGCAGATGCCATGATACTATATATAGAAAGCTGTAAAGTCTCCACCAAAAAACTATTACATGTAATAAATGAATTCAGTAAAGTTGCAGGATATGAGATTAATATACAGAAATCTGTTGCTTTTCTATACACTAATAATGAAACTATCCAAAAGAGAAAGCAAGAAAATAATCCCATATAAAATCAAATGAAAAAGAATAAAATACCTAGGAATAAACTTAACCAACGAGGTGAAAAATCTATAGTCTAAAAACTATAAAACACTGATGAAGGAAATTGAAGAAGATATAAAGAAATGGAAAGACCCTGTGTTCATGGATTGAAAGGATTAATACTGTTAAAATGTCATTACAACCCAAAGCAATCTACCGATTTAATGCATTGCCCAATGCATTTTTCACAGAACTAGGATAAATAATCCTAAAATTTATATGGGACCACAAAAGACATCACATTGCCAAAGCAATCTTGAGAAAGAATAACAAAGTTGGAGATATGACACTCTCAGACTTCAGAGTATATTACAAAGCTACAGTAATAAAAACAGTATGGTACGGGCACAAAAACAGACACATAGCTCAATGGAACCATAGATAGCTCAGAAATAAACCAATTATTGGTCAATTAAATTATGGCAAAGAAAGCAAGAATATACAGTGGAGAAAAGACAATCTCTTCAAAAAGTGGTGCTGGGAAAACTAAACAGCTACACATAAAACAATAAGTTAGAACATTTTCTCACACCATATACAAAAATAAACTCAAACTGAATTAGAGACCTAAAGGTAAAACCTGAAACCATAAAACTCCTAAAAGAAAAAATAGGCAGAACACACTTTGACATAAATTGTAGCAATATATTTGGATCTGTTTTCTAAGGCAAAGGGACAAAAGCAAAAATAAACAAATGGGGCCTAACTAAACTTAAAAGCTTTTGCGCAGCAAGGGAAACCATTGACAAAATGAAAAGACAATCTGCTGAATAGGAGGAAATATTCGCAAATGATATGACTGATAAAGAATTAATATCAAAAACATATAAGCAGCTCATAAAACTCAATATTAAGAAAAACAACCTGATTTAAGAAATGGGCAGAAGACCTGAATAGACATTTTTCCAAAGAAGACATACAGATGGCCAAAAAGCACATGAAAAGATGCTCAACATCATTAATCATCAGGGAAATGCAAATCAAAACCACAATGAGGTATCATCTCACACCTGTTGGAATGGCTACCATCAAAAATTCTACAAATAACAAGTGTTGGAAAGGATGTGGCAAAAAAAGGAACCCTAGCGCACTATTGATGGGAATGTAAATCGGTGCAGCCACTAGGGAAATCATTATGGAGGTTCCTCAAAAAACTAAAAATAGAGTTACCTAGTGATCCAGCAATCCCATGCCTGGTTATATATTCAAAGGAAATGAAAACAGTAATTCAAAAAGATATATGCACCCCAATGTTCTTAGCAGTATTATTTATAGTTGCCAAGATATGGAAACAACCTAAGTGTCCATCAATAGATGAATGGATAAAGAAGATGTCATATACATACACAATGGAATGCTACTCAGCCATAAGAAAGAATGAAATTCTGCCATTTGCAACAGTGTGGCTGGACCTAGAGGGTACTGTGCTTTATGAAATATGTCAGATGGGGAAAGACAAATATTGTATGTTATCACGTATATGTGGAATCTAAAAAATAAAACAAATGATTGAACATAACAATATATAACAGACACACAGATACAGAGAACAAACTAGTGGTTACCAGTGGGGGAAAGGGAAGGGGGGAGGAGATAGGGGTAAGGGAATTAAGAAGTGCAAACTACTGTGTATAGAATAAATAAGCAAGTAGGATACATTGTACAACACAGGAAAAATAGCCATTATTTTGTAATAACTTTAAATGGTATATAATCTATAGAAATATTGAATTACCATAATGTACACCTGAAACTAATATAATATTGTAAATCAACTACTTCAATTAAAAAAGTACATTTAAACAGTGTGAGGGTGTGTATGTGTGTGTGTGTGTGTGAGAGAGAGAGAGACAGAGACAGAGAATTGTGAGCCGAGTAAAGCTAGGTTTAATGCAACCGGAGGACCTTTCTCCAATTGCATTATATAAGTATTTTCAGCCAAAAGACTTGCCCTTTTTGGAGAATGTTGCAAGAAGACAACAACAGAAGCTTTGGAAGTATCTTAGTTGGATGGAGAATTGAACCAAAAGCCATTTATAATGATGTATAATGGAAATGCTAACTTGGGTTTCAAAGACTGATTTGTTAGGCTAATATTCAAAAGGACCTCGTATGACTATATGAAGATACTAATGTTCTCAATAGCCCCTGACATTAGGTGTGCTGTTTTATTGGTAGAGATGACCCATGCCTTTGGAAAATGTGGTATAACTCAGTCACATGAACAGATGTTGATGTTCTTTAAAACATGCTTTAGGGGGCTTCCCTGGTGGCGCAGGGGTTGAGAGTCTGCCTGCCAATGCAGGGGACACGGGTTCGTGCCCCGGTCTGGGAAGATCCCACATGCCGCGGAGCGGCTGGGCGCATGAGCCATGGCCGCTGAGCCTGCGTGTCCGGAGCCTGTGCTCCGCAACGGGAGAGGCCACAACAGTGAGAGGACCGCGTATCGCAAAACAAACAAACAAAAAAACATGCTTTAGTCTCAATTTAATTTCCAAATATCAAAGACACATGCATCTACTATACATACAGTATCTCCTGGTGGTCCTCTGGGTCCCATAGGGCCTGCAGGTCCTTGCTGACCCTAAATAGAAGGTGATATGTACTTTAATTTGATAAAAATTAGATTGTACCTGAATATATGTAAAATATGGTGCAACCTTTATCTATAGAAAGATCGACCTTCCACCATCCAGGCTCCTCTATATAACACTGAAATGTGCTTTGGGCCTACAAAGATAGTTTCAAGATGTTGTCATTTAAATGAGTCTGTTCTCACCAGTAGGTGAGGCCTGGATAACTTGCCTTACCCACTGGTGGGGGCATATCACACGAATCTCTCCAGTACCTCCCAACAGCTGGTCTTCTTTGGGACGCTCCTGTAGAGTCCTGCATGGGCAACTCAAACACTTCTGGGCTGCATAATTTTGGCTTAGGAAATTGAATACTGAATCCTGTTCTCTTTGAGAATACAGCTCAGGGTCATAGATGTGGCTCACACTGTTTACTCGTAAAGCTTTTAGGATGCTATTGTGAATATGGTCTGAAAAGAGCTTAAAAATCCCACTGTGATCCATAAGGCACACTCACCATGTATGTAATAAATGTGGTCAATGTGGGGATCAGGGAGATCACCATGGAAACATGATAAAGTCTCTGAGAACATTTGTGATGAAAATGAGTGGTCCATCAGAGTTCCTTGTTTTACATAGAAATGGCTATAACTTCAAAATAATATCCTCATTCATCTCAGTTATTTCTTATATACCTTTAGTCCTGAGCTTCCTATTACACCAGGGGGGCTAGGATCTCCAGGCTCGCCCTAAACATATGGGTGGGAAGGAAAGTGAAATGGTTACTTTAATGTTTCACAATCTCATTACATCGGAGATGCAAGAGAAAGGTGTCAGGGGATTACCTTTACTCCCTGTGATCCTGTTATTCCAGGTTCTCCCTGTAAATGAAAGAAGGACCATACCTGTAATGTTTAAATATGGATGGAGAAGAGCATCTCTAATGCTGCAATTCATCTACTTCCCCACTAGCTGACATACAATAAAGGGGAAAATTATGGAAGACATGGTGAAGTCAAGGAGGGTTCATTCTAAAATATGATTTAAAATAATTATTGCTAATACATAAACAATAATTTCCTATTTTTCTTTCTTCTCTGTAACAGTTTTTTTCCCCAATGTCACTTTTGACACTTTAACCATCATGGTCCATTAGCGGTCACTGAGTTCCCTACTTAGCTGACATTGTTATAATTTGCTGCCAGTTCATCTTGTATCTCAAGAGAACTAAAACTGCAGATGAGGGCAAAAAAGAAAGAGTAAAGTTTAAGTTGATATGTCATGGAGATTCTACTTTCAGGTGTATGTATTTAATGGAACAAAAAAACACACAAAAATTAAGGTTACACAGAAGAGGGCAATATTGGCTATAATGAGTTTGCTTTTCTTATTTTCCATGACTTACTATTGATCCTTTCTTGTTTGAGAAATCCAATTTGTATCATTAACAAAATTTTTGAAAAAAATCTGTATCTTACATATTAATTTTGTATTTTAAATATCCTTAGTGTATACCCTTCATCACGTTCATGTCCAGTCACAAATAGTAATGGGTTAAAGAAAACATACACTACCCAAAGCCAATGTGGAAGTGTCGTCACACGATAACACTTAACAAGGTTTAAAATTTCTCATTTATCAAAATAAAAGAGTCAAAATTCACAGAGGAAAAAGTAAAATCCTCAGGGAGCTGACCTTATCAAATGTATTAGACTCCAAAGTAAACATACTAGAAATCAGAGAGAAAGAAAATGAAGTAGAAAACCCAAGACAGTGATAAAACATCTACTTACTCTATCTCCCTTTTCACCTTTTGTAAAGGGTTCACCCTAGGAAAATGGGTGGAAAACAGAATCATTTTATAAACACTTTTAGGAATAATCTCTCCAAACCTGGATGGGCGTAAATCCTGCAGGCCAAACTCAGACTCCATTGCAAACATGCAGTGATCCAGAATGTCACATTGTCTGCCTATGCAGCTTAGAAGGACCATATGAAAATGAATTTAAAAACCATTTCATATTTCCAAATGAACAGTAAGTTAATCATTTCAATGTTATTTTGAGACTCCTGAGTGGTTGACAAATTACAATGCGGTCCAAGGCCAAAGCTTCCTCTTGCATGGTTCAGATAGAAGATGGTCACACACACACACACACACACACACACACACACACACATCCAATCAGAGGCAGAATGAATACGAGGATGCCAGAGTGATCAGTGGAAGGGCATTCATTTGAATTTTTCCAGTTACTTAAATTGGTGCTTAAAAATACAGTTTAACTTAGTGTTTAAAAATGCAAAATCATTATTTTAAAAATACTTTACTAATTTTCATTTTTCTTTTAATGAAAATGGCTTGAAGCAGTTAATTACTGGGTGAATAACAGTACAAGTCTGTGGAACTGATACTAGTTCTTGTTGGGTCTAGGTATGAAGGTTCCGGGGAGAGACAGAAGCTTTGAAGGAATGCCCCTTATTAAGTAACACTGTCCCTGTTGTCACTGTGTTACTAACACCACAACCCACCCTTAACACACACACACACACACACACACACACACACACACACACACACACACACGGGGAGGCTTCCCCTTATTAACTTCTGTTCTTGAAGGTATGTATCATGATGTCATTTAACCTGCACTACAGGGCTGTGAGGGAGATATTGTCCCATTTCAGGAATGAGGAAAGAGAAAGTTTCTGAGTAACTGAGTTACTTCCCCTAAAACAGCATTCACCCACTGTATGTTCCCTTGTTTATCTTGTCAATAAACTCTGTGAAGGTAGAGATATAATTCATCTTGACTATCATAGCATCTCTGGGGTACACTATTGGTGTCAAGCAAAAGTTTATTAAATTAGGGAATTTAAAGTTTTACAGATATAACAGCAGTAGCTGACATGTATTGAATAAAGCACTTACACCTGTTTTAATCACTTTCTATCCACTAACACAGTTACCCTCTTGTGTCAACAGGCTAGGTACGACGAGTACACTCATTTACAGAGGGGGGATCTGAGGCCCAGAGAAATTAAGCCATTTCCTCAAGGTCACAGAATCAGTAAGAGGTCACTGATGATTTAAACCCAGGCAGCCTGACTTCAATCCCAGGCTTTGCTTGCTCAGTCTGTTTGATTTGATTTGAAATGTAATCGATTGATTATTTGAATGGAGTGAATTGACAATAAGATGGATACCACACATTTTTAGTAACTTAGTAATTTTAGTAATTTTCTTTTGCATCTGAAAGTCAAGGGTAAGTGTGAGAACCACTGTGGTAGGTACTGCTGCTCTCAAAGGTCCTCTTAGGGGCTTGACCTTCAGGTCACGATCAGGAGGGGTGTGGTTACTGAACAAGCCTCGTGTCCCGTGACCTGCGGACTGTGGGCCCCTGTCTTCTCCCTGACGTTTCCAAGCTCCCTGCAGTTATGTGAGGCCAGGCAGCTAGTTCTGACCGTGAAATGTGTGCAGAAGTGATGCGTGCTGCTTGAAGGAGCCCATTCGTCATCCTCCAGTCCCGCTTCCCTGGCAGTGGTGGCTGAGAAGGTTGCACCTAGCAGACGGTGTAGCTCCCGGGTGCTAATCAGCCTGGTGACTGGTCACTGAGGGTCGTGTGCAGCAGGACACCCACTCCTCCCGACCACGCTGGGCAGGCAGCACGAGCAAGAGAAAACCTTTCTTGGGTTAAAACCACAGATATTTCAGGGCTAATTTGTTACTAGGCATAACCTACCTACTCTGACTAATATGACCCATATCTATCCAACATCATTACATCTCTTATTATTGGATAATTTCTATATATTAGATTAGGGCTTTATATTTTTGCTTTTCAGTCTTAATTCTAAAAATCAATTTTAGTTTTAAGATAGGAGACGAAGTTAATTAGATGTGAGCAATAGGCAACATTGCCTTTGTGACTGCTTGTTTCTGATTATAGCACATTGCTTATCTAGAACCTCTGTCAAGCCACACTGACTAAAGTAACTGCTTGTAAAAGAAAAAAGAACCAAAATCAGAAGCCTGGTGATCTAGAGACCTGATATTTCGTCCTAGTTCCAATGGCTACCATCTGGGACAAGTTGTTTACATTTTAGAGCCTCTTTTTCCTTATCTATAAAATCCTGGGGTTCAACCAGACGATATTTCAGCTCTGATGTCTAACCTGGTCATGTTCTAAATTTCCTATAACGGGGAACAAAGTGCCCTTTTAAGGTACCATTCAGGCTCCTAATTCAGATCTGGATGAAGACCATTGTTCTGTTCGGGCCTTCTGGTTATTATGCAAAGTTAAGTCCACATCCTGTTCTGTATTAAAGAGGTTGAGATCATAAAGAGCTAAACTGCTCTGCTAATAACGTGAAATTTGTGTTTTTTCCTGTGGGGGGGTGAGGAGAGAGGCAGGCAAAGATGTGTAAGGGGTGTGGGATAATTCAGGGATTCAGATGGAACTGACAAGGAGAAGAACTGAGAGGAAAAGAAGCTGGTTTCTCCTGGGTAAGGTAGATGGGGCGAAAGGTAGTCTCAGGGGGTTGGGTCTTGGTGGCAGGACGGAGAACCACAGGGAAAACCCTTAGGAACTGTGACATCCTTCAGCGCTTGCTACGCAAAGCATGGTCTAGGGACCCACAGCAGGAGCATGGCCTGGGACTTTGAGAAATACAGCCACTCAGGCTGAAAGCAGCTCTTTTGTCCCTTTCCTCTTTGCCCATTTCTGTTCCCTTCTAAACTTAAAAGAACCTAAATATAAAAATGAGATCACTAAGCAATTGAAACTAACTCCTGACTTGTGCTGTCCTGAATGCACCCCATGCCTTGTCTAACCTGTTGATTCTTTTCCTAGATGAAAAGAAGTAAGAATGAAGAATTAAGCAGTTAAAGTATGACTAACTCTCCTGCTGGCAGATCACGCGGGCAAGATAACATCTGAAGAAAGAGTCAGCCAGTCTGCATGCAACGGAGAAAGATGCAGAACCCAACCTCCTGCCTCAATGATTCACTGAGATTCTTCCCCCATTTTTCCCTCTAAAAACTGTCATGGCTGAGCAGAATCTTTGGAGTTGGTCTCTTGACACAAGTCCACCATCTTCTCAGATGGCTGGCTTTTCTGATTAAAGCATCTTTCCTTTCTACTGACATTTGCCTCTCGAATTATTGGCTTATGAGCCATCAGCAGCTGAACGTGGGTTTGGTAAAAAGCCCAAGCCAGACCCGCTGAACTAGCATTGGCATTTCAAAATGATCTTCAGGTTATTTAAGTTCACACTTAGTATGAGAAGCACTGCTCTAACCCATTCAGATTTCTCTATTCTGCTCTACAAGTCCCAGCTATCCCAGTAGAACTGTAGTAAATCTTAGGGACTGGTCTGTTATGGGTCACGTGGAAATTAGGAGAAGGTTGAGTGTCAGTGTTCCAGCATGGAGGGGCGTCAGTGGGGACCCAGAGAGGTAGGTAAGAGGTGGGAGACGTGCCCACAAGTGTGGAGTATCAGGAGTGAGCGGGCAGATGGACGGGGCAGCAGACACCAGACTGGATTTGTGGGACACATGAGATTTCCCAGAGAGTCCCAGGAAGGGCTGTTACTGGCCTGGATGGAATACTAAGGGCAAGCATGATTCCTGAAGTAGGAGAACTTCGGAGTACATGAGTGACAGCACTGATTCTAAAGCTGCCTGAAAAATGACTGCCATTGCCAAAGATGCTTCATTTTTGAAAAAATTAATTAAATTATTTTTGGCTGCCATTGGGTCTTCGTTGCTGCACACGGGCTTTCTCTAGTTGTGGCGAGCAGGGGCTACTCTTCGTTGCGGTGTGCGGGCTTCTCATTGCAGTGGCCTCTCTTATTGAGGGGCACGGGCTCTAGGCACGCAGGCTCAGTAGTTGTGGCACGTGGGCTTCAGTAGTTGTGGCTCACGGGCTCTAGAGCGCAGGCTCAGTAGTTGTGGCACATGGGCTTAGTTGCTCCACAGCATGTGGGATCTTCCTGGACCAGGGCTCGAACCCATGTCCCTTGCATTGGCAGGTGGATTCTTAACCACTGTGCCACGAGGGAAGCCCAAAGATGCTTTTATTATTCATTTGAGCTATTATGCTTAGTTATAGCATGGCAGCTTAGTGATTTTTTTTTTTTTTTGCCACACGCGGGCCTCTCACTGTTGTGGTCTTTCCCGTTGGGGAGCACAGGCTCCGGACGCGCAGGCTCAGCGGCCATGGCTCATGCGCCCAGCCGCTCCGCGGCATGTGGGATCTTCCCGGACGGGGGCACTGCATCGGCAGGCGGACTCTCAACCACTGCGCCACCAGGGAAGCCCAGCTTAGTGATTTTTAAACCCTGGGTTCTGGAATCTGCCTTCCTAGGAGTAATTCATGGTTTCAATACTTCCTAGCTGTGTGAACTTACAGAAGTTACTTAACCTCTCTGTGCCTCAGTTTCCTCATCTGAAGGATGGGGGTGATTTTTTTAAAAATGAACTAAGTGAGGTAATACATGTAAAAAACTTAGTACCTTGACTAGAGTACATGCTCAAATATCTGATCTATTGTTCCCTATGGCAGGGGCAACCAAGGTGCATGGAATTGGGCTGATTAAGAAATATATTTTTAATTCTATCTTTTGGATATTCTTCCTCTGCTCTCAAAGCTAAAATACTTACAGATTCTCCTTTTTCACCTTTAGGGCCAATAGAGCCTGGAAATCCTGGTGGTCCAATTTCACCCTTTCAAGAAAAAGCAGAAGAAAGTTTTTGCAGGAGGCCAGGTGAGTCCTGTTGTGACTGTCAGGGTCAGAGCATTGCCTGTGCCCTTTCTAACCAGGGAAGTTATCTCTTATCCCCCAAGAGGCAATGTGAAGTTCTGAATCCAGTTAGGCTATTTGCATAATAATGTTTGTCAGTGTGCCACGATGCCTTTGGGTCTTTTAGAAATCCATAATATTCATTAGGATCTTTAAAATGAATGTGAAACAAAAGTCAATTATTTTTCAAGGAAAGAACATTTAGAGGGAAAAAATTATAATTCCGCTCTGCTGTATGTTGTTTTTGCAAAAAAAAAAAAAAAGAATTTTTGTGGTTTTAAAGACGTGAGATAATTTAACTGACACAATAATCCAGACCCATTTTATTTCAGACACTTCTTTCTTTTTTCAGGTTGGGGGAGGTGGAGGCGTGAGGAGTCACAGGAAGAAAAACACATCTCTCCACTGTTTCCAGCACTTATATCACCACTTAAGTGTTCGGCTGTGGACAGAGAAGGCATTCTTGTTGATGTGGGGACAGTAGCAACTTAGAAATGCCTAAGAGGTTCTGGTCAAAAATCTTGAGAAGGGATTTGTATGTGACATATAAAGGGAATTTTGAGAAAATAAAATTTTAGAAATAATACTTGTGGCAAGGAAACATATCATTAATTAGACTTCAGGGATGTCCCAGCATTGTGCTTCCATTTAAGTGTTAACCAACATTCCCGAAAACCAGACAGTTGTTAAATTAAATGCAGCCACTAGAAGTTACGTAATGTTGGTTATTTTCCAATCTCAGGAGCATTTTTGCAAAACAATGTTCACCATTGCACTTCCAAGTATATGCCTTTTTTGCCCATCTTGTCTTTTTTTTTATTTTGAAAAAAATACAAAACACATAAAGTTGAATATGTCAAACCTCCATGGACCACACACCCAAGATGGAAGAAAGAAAAAAATTTATAACCGAAGAAGTTTCAAATTCTCTCTCTCTTCCTGTGCCAGAGAGAGCCACTGTCATGATTTTAGTACTTATGTTTTCAGTCTATATTTTTGCACTTTTACTGCATATGTGGAACCATAAATAATATGTTATTTTGGATATTTAAAACAAATTCTATAGAAGCCATTGTTTGATCTTGTATATAATATTTTGTGCCTTTTTTCCCTACTCAATGTGGTTTTTAATATCCATCCTCTATTAATAGATATATTTAGATCTAGCTCATTCATTGAACCCTCAGATAGCGTTCTATTGTGTTAATGTATCGGGGTTCGTCAAAGCCCTACTGATGGGTATTTGGTTGCCTCTAGCTTTTCTCTATTATAAACAAGGCTGCAATGAACATCTTTATACCTGCCCCTTGTGTGGATATGTTTATGTGTTTATTTTTTTATTTTTAATTTTTTTTGCGGTACGCGGGCCTCTCACTGTTGTGGCCTCTCCCGTTGCGGAGCACAGGCTCCGGACACGTAGGCTCAGCGGCCATGGCTCATGGGGCCCAGCCGCTCCGTGGCATGTGGGATCTTCCTGGACTGGGGCACGAACCCGTGTCCCCTGCCTCGGCAGGCGGACTCTCAATCACTGCGCCACCAGGGAAACCCTGGTGTGTTTATTTTGAATCCTCAAACAACAATCTACCCAAAGTATTTCAATTACTAGTTTATTACAGCCTTAAAACATTGTTTTATTTCTACATTTCTATCGTAATCAGTATCTTGTGATTTTAGACTAGAGGAAGAGGGAGGCTGTCATATATAATGGACAGACAAAGCCATGTTTTTATTAAGGTGGTGTCTAGATTTGTGGAATATATTTTGGAAATGTAATCTTGATTTTATTAATACAAGTATTTTCCTTTATAGCGTACCACCCAAACATATAATGTACCATCAGTTTTGCGCTTACCATACTGTAGGAGAAGCCATTTTTTTCTACAGATATTGAATTCTAACCATAGTACAAAGAGGAAGAAATTGGTGGAGACATTTAAGGGGCTGATTGCTGTTGGTTTGAAAGAATAAATAAACAATTGGCCTCATACAAGTGTTAGGCTGTACAGAGTGACCTTCCTATTACCCATTTGATGGGTGCTAAAAGCCCCAGTGCATTGGTGTGATAGAAAAACTTATGCTTAATAAGTTGCATAAAGTAAATGTAGAAATCAAGGAAAGGGTCTAGAAATTACTATAAAAGTCACATCTGCTCAATACCAAAGGTAAGGGGAGGGGAATATACTTGGAGGAAGAGTAACTATGTTCACAGCTGCTAAGTATTTGAAGCAATGTATACAGGTCTCCATTGAAATGCAGAGCAAGGACCCAACAGAGGCTTTGGTCCATCTCTGATTGGTACGAAGCGGTGTCTGGGCTTGGAGGAAATCTAAGGGCTCTGTTCCCTTATATAAAACTCTACAAACAAAAGCATTTCACACCTGAAGCACAGACACGTATGCTGTTTTTCATAGTTAGAATGGGTGTTCAGTGAGTTATCACTGTGGCTATGAGCTGAAAGACAAGTGATGAGTTTACTTAGCTTCAGGAAAGGCTGTCATTTAATTTGACACCTTGGACGCTATTTGAAAGGTCTGGTGGTGTTGAGCCTCCATCTTTTCCCTCTGACAACTGCCCTAAAAGACACCGCTAATTCCTCAGGAGTCCTTAGATATTCTGTCACCTAGTCCACCGTCTCTATAAAGGAGCAGTTCTCCCCAACTTATCTGCAAACACAGCATCATCCCCTCACCAGATCCCATCAGTCTCAGGTCGTCAGACTGGTTACTTGGATATCATGGTCTCCATCGCCATTTACCATTAAAAGCCGGTAGTGTTCCTTGGTGTTTCTTCCTGTATCCCAGTGCTCTTGATACAGGACTTGGCTGCTAACCTAGGAGTGATTTGTGTGTTCATCTTACTGCTGTTTGCATCTGTTCTGGTGCTTCACTGGAAGGCTGGGTTCCGAATGGTAGGCTGGTTTTGTGATTCTACTCTGCCAGCCGGTGCATCGAGAAGTGATGTGTGATTCAGCAATAATTCGCTTATGGGTTGAAATTGTACTTCTGGTTCAATCTTTTATTCTACAAGATGAATTGAGCCTCAACATTATGGTGAGAGAAGCAAAGATGATCAAGACCGGGTGTTAAGGATGGTAACAACTAACTATTAATATCAAACAGAGATAAATGATACCTTATGAGAATGAAGAAAGTTTGGAGTGGATGAATAGGAAGGAGCAAAGCATTAGTGAGGGCTTCATATGTGCCAGGTATTGTGGTTCGGGCAAGTTCATCTCATCTCATTTGATTTCAATCCTGCCATCAATTCTCTGTGTAGACGTCCATTTCACAAATGAGGAAACTGACGCTCAGAGAAATAAAGTGTCTTTCCCAAGGAGACAGAGTTGTTAATGGCACAATCAACTTTTGATGCCAAAGCAGGATCTTTTTAGCACTCAATGGTTCTCCACTCTGGCTGCCAGGTAGAATCACCTCAAGCCCTCTTAAATAATAGCAGTATGGACCACCCCCCACTCTGCTGCCACCCCAGATCAACCATATACATGGGCTCTGCCCCACATCAGAGTCTCTGGAGATGGAACCTGAGTACTGGTACTTTCTAAAAGCCCTCAGGGGGTTCCAACGTGCAATTGGAGTTCTGAACCACCAGAGTCCACCACAGGTTCAAGCAAAGATCTGAAAGAGCAGCTTGAAGGAGCTTTAAATTGTCACTACAGTGACCCAGGAGCAGCATTATAATTTTAAGAACAAAAGTATAGATTCAGCCCAGGTACTAAGTGAGTGTGTATAGGTAGAGGTGATTCTACTCTTCTAGCAAATGTGGTGCTTATGTTTTTGAGTTTATCATATGCATTATTTACTGGCAGAGTCTTTCTCCTTTTAATTAGAATTCTTACAAATCATTTCATATGGGCATTTATATCAGGTACTCTGTAGACTCTTCTGGGTTATTTCTTTGGGCAGGAAGAGGCAACAGTCATGCCACTGGCTTTTTCTAATTCCACTTAAGATTCTGAAGCAATTAGAAAAGATTTTGAGCCATAAAAAGGGTCCTTAGAGTTTGAAATACACCTGTTTGACAGAATCAAATTTCTCATCATTGAGGTCTTAAGAATTCCTAAGTAACATATGTTTCCTAATGAACATAGCAAAACCAGGGCCAGCTGTTTTGTTTCAAGAAATGAATCATCATTTAAATACTTTAAAAGTGCCACAACTCTCTTTGCTCAGCTGTCCTAAGTGACAAGCTTTGTGGCTTTCTTTTTTTTTCTCCTTAGTCTGCATGTGTCCAGCAGTAATTGCTTAAAATATAATGTGCTCCTTATGGTGGTATAGGAATTCTGCAAGCTATTTGGTTACAGGAAATAATGCTAATGTACTAGCAGTACAATCCAAGACACATAAATGACCTTATTGCTGTATAATCAATTTCTGGGATGCCTTTTTAAGAATGTCAAGGTTTTATTTGTTTACTTATTTGCAGGAAATTTCATTTTCAATGGTCAGTCTATAAGAAGCCCCTACTTTCTGTTGAGACTACCTTTTAGCAGTTTTTTCTGGTTACGGAGGTATGATCTTGTGAATAGATTGGCTGCACTGATTTATAAGGCACAGAAGTCATATTTTCTTGGATTCATGTCGAAATACCCTGCCCTCAATCATGAGAATTTTTACTGGGTGAATGAATGAAGAGAGAACCCCCAGGCCATGTTCCTGCAGAGTATTTCCAACCCACTTGCCTCTGTCTGTGGATTTAACGTGCATTTTCCCCCCCTTTTTAAATTGAAGTATAGTTGATTTACAACGTTGTGTTAGTTTCAGGTGTACAGCAAAATGATTCCATTTTACATACATATATATCTATTTTTTCCGATTCTTTTCCTTTATAGGTTATTACCAAACATTGAGTATCGTTCCTGCATTTTTTTTTCTTGACAATGGCACGTTCCCACTGAATCCAAGGTCATCCCAACTGCAGGATCGAACAGGAGTGAAACATCTTTTTGACCAGGCAAGGGCATCTGTCATCTTCACAGCTAATATAATTAAACCCGTGAACGATGATGAGAAGGCAGTGCGAATTCGTCAGTATTTTAACTGTAAAGCTATTTTGAAATAATTATTTGGTTAAACCGAGACTGTACATGATAAAACCCCACCCCAAAATGCTCCCATGATAGTTTATGTTTGGACGCTTAAGAAAACACAAAGACAGCGAGCCTCAGGCATCGTGTCAAAGGGCCTTTCAGATGGTTTTTGCCGTCTACATGGATCCATGAAACATCTAATTAAAAACCGAAACCTGTGTCCTAATTTCATTTACCTGTGACAGCTATTTCCCCTCGATGTGGATGTGTTCGTTCCCTTCCCGTAGTCAGCTACTCAGGGCCTTCTCTTGGAGGCCAGGGAGGCTCGTGCCCACTGCAGGCTGACTTGGAGCCCACGGGGCAGCGGGACTGCCCTGATGTGTGAATGGGTGTGAGTTGGTGTAAGATGTTTTTACTCAAATTTACTTCGCAAATTTGATTACCTTCTCTCCTTTTGGGCCACCAGCTCCATGCTCACCAAGGTTTCCCTAGGTAAACATAAAACAAATAAAAAGACAAAAATCCATTTATTTTTAATACATTCAGTCCCTAATTAAGCATAGAAATAGTGAGATAACAGCACAGTAACAGCTTTTTATAGATAACATTTTAATCCCGTTTGCCTCTCTCATGTTCTGTCAAATATTCCTGAAAAGCTCTAACTATTGAGACCCTGCCTATCCTTGCTGTGACATCCCCCCAGGAGGTGATGCTGGAGAAATACACGTCTCCAGGGGTGAATTAGCAATACTTCAAATTAACGCCCGGCAGCCTCACTCGGTGCCCATCCACTCCACGGATAGGACTGTCTAAGGCTAGCAGTGATATCCTTGCTGCTCAGTGTAATGGACATTCCTTTCACTGCCCTCTTGGCTGCACTTGGCATGTCGTGACTTGTATCCCACACATTCTCCTGCTTCCTCCTGTCTCTCTGACCTCTCCTCCCACACCATCTCCTAACTGCTCAAGGTTGGACCTCCTCAGGACTGGGTCCAGCTCTCTTGTTGTGACTCAACATTTGGTCCCAGATACTCTTATCTGCCCCGCAGCTTAGGCATCATCTACACCAAGAAAGACAAATTTGTAAACCCAGCACACGTCTCCCTTCTGGGTTTTGACCCCTATATCTAATTTTCTACTTGACCTATCACTCGTAAATTCTAGAAGAGATTTATATTTGACAAGTTCAAAACCGAATTAACAAATACAGGCGATATAAGTGAGAAAGATGAGAATATCACATTGTTAACATTTGTTAGTCCAGAAGGGGGAGAATGATAATTAACTTCTTCCTAATATATCTCTGCGGTTTGACTTGTTAAAATGAGTGGTAATTTCATTGTATAATTGAAAAAAATCAAGGAAAGAAAGTCTGAATTCATCCTCTCCCATCTGTAGAGCTCTTTCTTCTTCCATCTGGGTGTCATCGTTAACTCTGCCCTCCTCTGTTCCTTGAGGACAATGTCATCCGGTCTGGTTGCCTCTGTCCCCAAATCTCTTCTCTCCATTCTACTCGCCTTCACTGGGAAGGCCACCGTCACATCTCTCCAGGATCATTGCAATGGCTCCCTCATTGGCCCTATAATCCGCTCTTCCCCCCTCCCCACCATACGTTCTCTATAGAAGGTCGGAGAGTGATCTTCAAACGACATTCTGACCTCCTTCCTTCAAAACCTTAGCAGAGTCGTATTAAGGTCTTCTCTCAGCTCTTCAAATGGACCGAGATCCTTCCCGTCCCTCCCTGTAGTTCCCCACCCTGTCCTCACTTCTTTGTCTGGTTAGCAACCTCTCAACCCTCAGGGCTCAACTATTGAGATAAAACGCTTCCTGTGGGTCTCCAGACAGGTTCCGCTCATAGGTTCCCATTGGTCATGGTGTTTCTCCTTCATAATACTAACATTGAAAATGTTGTGTTTGTTTAAAAATATTTGCACCTCTTGCATTGGCATGTAAGGTCCATGATGGCCTGGAACTGAATGGCCGCCCCATGTCTAGTGTCCTACCTAACGTATAGGAAGCACTCAACAAGTATTTGTTGAATAAATATGCCAATGATTCTGACTTACATGTTTTTTTCCCATTAACGTCTTTTTAAATTAAAAATACATATGTTGGTAGAGAAAATTCAAAGTACAGAAATGTTTAAACAACAAAAATACACAGAGGCACTGGTTCAGATCACTGTTGCTACAGTTTAATATTTTAAATGTGCCTCCATGTTACTCATGCTACTCCAATTAAAAATAAATAGTTTATAACTGCTGTTATTACTGGTCTTGTGATATTCTCTCATTTTTCCTACTTAACTTTGATCCGAGATGTCTAAATTGAAAATAAAAATGGTCGTCTCAAAACCCCAAGCTATAAATTATTACAGGGACATATTTGAAAATGAGGTATAGCACTCCAAGACTGCTCATTGCAAGAATGAGCAGTTAGAAAATGGTAGGTTGTTTGAATGCAATCTGCACAGAAACACAGAAACTCTAGGAATTTCCTGAAAATACTACCACCTGGGCCTGGAGCCAATGACTATGTACAACCCATCAGAGTCTCTGCCTAGCTCTGCTTATGCTGTGACGTGTGAGGAAGGCGGAACATGCTTTGGTCTAAGACACAAGTTGTTCAGAGGTGGTCTTTGGATTGGGAGGCCCCATGCTCTTGGCTTGCAGAGCAGAAGAGCACCCAAAGTACATTTGCTGAGAGCATCTCACAGTGTAGCACCTTGGTTTAGATTCCCCTCCTCCTCTGAACCCCAGCAACCTAAAGGGCATCAGAGATGCTTCAGGGATGAAGAAATGCCTCTGCAGCACCAAGTCATATTATTCTATCCATAGGCTGTATTGTTCTAAAATCTTGATTTTTCTGGAGGCTTTCCTATGCAGAGAAACAACATGGTATTTACTGCCTAGCAGAGTGCCATATGTTTGCTTCACTCCATAGCTAGGTCAGGAAACTCATCTAATCAAGGACCCACAGTGGCCTCTGTAGGTGTTCTCCACTCTTGGGCTAACAGTACTCAAGGCAGAGGCAAACTGGAACTTCAGCTGCATTGATTTGTTGGCATGTGAGATTCTCCTCTCCGCTTTCTCCAAGTTAATTGTACCAGATAATTACTTGGCTCTACAGAAATAATGAGACATCGTCCTTGTGTTTCTGGAACCCACGGTTCTGCCTCAGATGTTATTCTAATTTTACCAGGTCATTTTGTGCCTTGCTGCCATGTTATCTGAATGGTTCTCATAAACCTTTTGAGTAGCTATAATAGCTGTACCCTCTTGAGTGTGTTTGTTGAAGAGTTTCTATGGTGCAGCGGAGAAGGTTGTTGTGTGTGCCACTCAGCCTGCACATTTCAGGAATTCTGGGGAGACCAAGGTGGCAGAGTAGGAGGAGGCTGAGCTCACCTCCCCCCACGAACACACTGGTAACACACCCACATGTGGAGCAACTCTCACTGAAAACAAACTGGAGACTGACACAGAGACTCTTATACAATCAAGACCGTAAGAAGGATCCACACAAAATCTGGTAGGAAGGGAAGAGAAGCGATCAGGTTGGGACTTGTGCCCATAGTGGGGGACACAGAAGAGAAGGGGGATTACACGGCCTCAGAGGTCCTCCCTGGGAAGCAAGTGGTTTGAACCACATTTTGGGTGCTCCAGCCCTGGGGTCTGACGTCAGGAGGATGAGTCCCCTTAGCTGGTTTGCAGACCAGTGGCCCTGACAGCGGGGCTGTAAGAAACCTCGAGTCTGCTTGTGAAGCGTGTGCGCACACTCGCTTACTCCCAAAACAAGGCGGAGGGAGCAGATGAAAGCTACCCAGGACTCTGGCTGGTTACCTGTGGCCATGCCTGCAGGTTCCCCAGCCCAAGTTGAGCACCTGGACCAGCCCGCTGGCTCTGTGGTGCAGCTCCACACTACAGCAAGGACTGCCATGGCCAAGGGGGGTGCGCGGTTGTGGGGCAATGGAGCTGCCTTAGACCTGGAACAGCATCTGAGTGGGGGGACAGTGGCCATTGCTGTCACCCCTGGAGGCAGCAGAGTGGGGGCCTCCCAGAACTCTAACGGTGCCAGGAACACCACAGCCTGCACCTTGACCCACACTGAGCAACCACTCCAGGCCCTCTTGTTCCAACACTGCTCCCCTCTGGGGCAAGGGTGGTGGTGATGGGAGAGGGGGAAGCACACTCTTGGAGGGAACAGCGCCATCTCAGACCTGACCCTCGCGGCTTCTGCTCCAGCAGCCAGGAAACTGCCCCCACTCCCCAGTGGGGCGGTGAGGGTCACTAAGCAGAGGAGAAGCCCTGAATCACACCTGGCTCCAGCTCTAGCACCTCCATCTCCAGCCCCACTTCCTACCAAGGTAAGAGCGGCCAGCACACCCTGGAAGAAGACGTGCCTCAGGCTCAGGTCGGATCCAGCTCTCCCCGCAAAGCCACTGGGCACATGCAGACTGTAGAAGGAAGCTCCCACAAAAGGACACCCCTTCAAGACCATATAGGTAACTGGTTCACCTAACAGAGAAAGTTAGCAAAATGAGAAGACAGAGGAATTTGGTTCAAATGAAACAAAAGAAAACCCCTGAAAAGACAAGTAATTAAATAGAAATAAGTAATTTATCAGATAAAGAGTTCAAAGCATTAGTAATAAGAATAATAACTGAATTAGAGAAAAGAATAGATGAACACAGTGAGAATTTTAACAAGGAACTAGAAAATATAAAAAAGAATGAGTCAGAACTGAAGAATACAATAAATGAGTAATAAAGAAACACACTAGAAAGAATGAACAGCAGACCAGGTGATACAGAAGAACATATAAGTAATCTGGAAGATAGACTATGAAAATCATCCAATCAGAGCAGCAAAAAGAAAAATAAATTCCAAAAAGTGAGAACAGTTTAAGGGACCTCTGAGACAACGTTAAGCATACCAACATTCATATTATAGAGAACACAGAAGAAGAGAGAGAGAAAGTAGTAAAAAAATGTATTTGATGAAATTATGGCTGAAAAATTCCCAAACCTGAAGAAGGAAAAAATATCCAGATACAGGAAGCATAGAGGGTCCCAAACAGGATGAACTCAAATAGACACACACCAAGACATATCATAATTAAAATGGCAAAAGTTAAAGAGAGAATTCTAAAGGTAGCAAGAGAAAAACAAAGAATCATATACAAGGCAACCCCCATAAGGCTATCAACTGATTTTACTGCAGAAACTTTGCAGGCCAAAAGGGAAAGTGCTGAAAGTGAAAAACCTATAATCTAGAATAATCTACCCAGCAAGGTTATTATTTAGAATTGAAGGAGAGATAAAGAACTTCTCAGACAAGAAAAAACTAAAAATGTTCATCAATACTAAACTTGCCCTAAAAGAAATGTTAAAGGGTCATCTCTAGGTGGAAAAGAAAAGGCTACAGTAAGAAGGAAGAATCTACAGGAAAGGAAAAATCCCACCAGTAAAGGTAAATATATAGTAATGGCT